GGTTATATTTAACTGTTTCGAGAGTAAAAACTTGGGAACCGTCGGCTGAGGTTTTCAGAATACGCAGACTGCACTTCTGCAGAGGGGTACCCCCCCCAAATGAGGCGCCCTACTTATGACGATAAACTACATCCGCGTCCTGGTTAAGACGATAAACGTCTTAAGCAGGACGCGGATAAAAGCGTTGGTTAGATCCAATGGCAGGACCCAAAGAGTGTGAGTTCAATACCCGGTTAAGGCAGTGGAGAACTTGCAGAGGGGAATTAACAGGAGATAACTGATAACTGACATCCATTAAACATGGCACGTGGAACTAGATCAGTCTACCCCAGTGAGCGAAATAAAGGGTTCAGTTCGACATTCCAAACGCCTGAAGAAGGCCGGAGCGTACAACGGCCGAAACGTTGTAATATGGCGGCAAAGATGAGGACAATAGTCCGAATAATGTAAACAGTGTACATAATACCTTATCTTAGAAATATAGAGAGATATTAAATAATCCATTGAGGTTGATATACTGTAAAACAAAACAAATCAAACCAACACTATCTACCTATCTAATTAGTGTTGAAAGAACTCCTTACAAGAAAGCTTATTCCCCGTCAGTCTTTTGAAATGTGCGTGAATATTTTACAACTGTTTTGAATAGGATTAATCTAAGCGTTAAGTAAACTTTGTATTCGGGTTAAAACAACGATGGTCACTACTACAATAACAAAGACGCTTTTATTGATTTTAATGTCCATTATGTCAAGTGCCTTAGCTATTCTAATGCTAATATTGTTGATGGTATATACATTTTTCAGTTTCACGCACTCTCTTCCAATAGTAGAGTACCCTACGCCTTTCTCTAATAATTTTGATCAACATGCTTCCTGATTCGATGTTTCATATTTCTTCTCTTGATCCATTTTGATCATCTCAACACTGTCCTCTTGACAATTTGGATTACGCTGTAGTATCTGTTGGTATTTCTTCCTAGTCGTCTATTAATTATGACTCTCCTATTTAAAAAAAAAATTTTCTGCAATTAAGCAACGTCGAACCTGGTCAGTACCTACAGGAGTGACCGCTTGGTAATACCAACTGCTGTAAGCTTGGATGCGCAGGTGGTGTGATGGATAATGGCTAATCAGAGAGCCAAGTTCTAATTCCCGCTGGGTTCGTTGTACTAACGCACAAACACCCATGGGAAAGGTAAGAATCCACATCTTGCTTCCCCAGCTATGGGTTAATTAGTAAGACTTGTATTACCACATCATTATTATCATCCCTCACAAAATATTTTCTGGCTTTAAATAACCTACAAAGAGTTGATAAATCGTAAAAAACGAATAAAAAAATCAGCTTTTTCATGTTGTGATATCTTAATGTATATCGTCACTTGTGTGAAAGGACCGGAAATATTAATATCCTATAATAATTTTCATAATTTTTTCATAATTTTCACAATGATATTTGCGTATAAATAGGTATAACAAACCAGACTGGAATTAGAACTCGGCTCCCTCAAATCTTACAGCACCTGATATTTCCAAGCAGTCCTTCATCTAGGTACTTGACAAGGCCCGACGTGGCTTAAGTTCGGTGATCGAATTCTTTATAATGACTGGTGTCAATTGAAAATCAACACTGGGCAAGATGAAGAAGAATAAAACAGCAAAAGCGGACAGTATTGCATTAGAAATATTATTTTAGACGATTTCTGTTTCAAAATGATCACCGAAATATACGACACTGGTGAAATACCGGAAGACCTTAGAAAATCTATCATTGTGGCGCTACCTTTGGAGGGAGTTGCAAACAAAAGCGAGGTTCATCGGAAAATCAGCTTAATGTGCTAATATTACGAATTCTGATGCGGACAGGAATATAACGAACCCAAATGGAATTGGAACTCGGCTCTTCGATTAACAATCCCGAGCCATTATCCATTACACCGCCTGCACATCCAAGCTTAAAGTACCTGGTATTCCCAAGCGGCCACCTATCTAGGTACTGACCAGGCTCGACGTTGCTTAACTTCCGTGATCGTACGGTAACTCTGCTCTCCGATTAACAATTCCGAATCATTATCCATTACACTACTTGTACATACAGCACCTGGTATTCCCAAGCGGTCACTCCTCTAGGTACTGACCAGGTTCGACGTTGCTCAACTTCAGTGATCGTACGGGAACTCGGCTTTCCGATTAACAATTCCGAGTCATTATCCTTTACAATACTTGTACATCCCAGCGTACAGCACCTGGTATTTCCAAGCGGCCACCTATCTTGGTACTGACCAGGCTCGACGTTGCTTAACTTCGCTACTCGTACAGCAACCGGTGTCACACAGAGAGAAAGTTGGGGTCGATTTTCTCCAGATCAATGTTCTTGAGTATGTTTAAAGAGACACAGGATAAAAAAAGAAAAAAAAAAGAAAAGAAAAAAAAACTCGCTCTGGACGTTGTAGTTTGAAGGTTTTTGTGCTATTGATACAATTACTCACTTATTTATT